TCGGGCTTCCTGGTGAAAGGAGCCTGCACGTATCCGGCAGCGAAGAGCAAACATTGCACTTGAGTCTCAAGGATTTTTCCCTTCCTCTTGCCCTGGATCGCGGTTGGTTTTGCATGTTGGCTCTTGGCAGCGGTGGGGGGCGCGCAGGCAAAGCTGAGCCCCTCTGAGCCCTGAGTGTCTGATTGAAACCGTGACTCAATCAACGCCTCAGCCCCTCTGAAGCAAAGTGAATGCGTGGCTCAAGCCCGGAGCACAGCGATCCAGCGTGCTGGAAGTGGGCAGGGAGAGGAGGGGGAGCCTCGCCCCCAGGGAAGTGGGGTGCTGCTGTCCTGGCAGCCTTGTCCTTTAGGAATCTGCAAGGGTTCAAAGGGCAAACTTGAAGGTGATTTCCCTGCCCCTGTTCAATCCCGAGCACCCTGCGGGGTGTGGGATGGGACCCACAAAAGGCACTTGAACGGCAACCCACATGAGACCATGGGTGAGCAATGAGGGTCCACCTGCGGGCGGTGAGACTGGCCCAGCAAGGCTCTGAGGGCTGAGCGGGATGCGAGATTGGATCACTAAAGTCAAGGAAAACAGCTGTAAATCTGAGAGGTTTTCCTGTGTAACGCGACAGCTCTTAATTAAGCCATTTCTGCCATTTCCATTAGCCTATCTGATTCTGAAGAAGCTGCTGTTTTGCTGCATAATCAGGGCCTTGAAATGCAGCTTCCACCCACAGACCCAGAAGGATCCCTCCCCTCGGGATGGGTGAGAAGACTTGGCTTTCCCCGTCTGCGCCTAACAAAGCTTGTGCAGGGAATCTCTGAACTGCCAGAAAACTTACCTGTCTGTGGAAGCCCCTTAGGACAGGGACTCTTTGTCTGGCAGCATTGGTCTATTATAATGCAAATTAAATACAGAGGCCAATGACTCCTCAATAAATGCCGGAGATAGATAGTCAAAGGCAGAGGCTCGATTAACTAGTACCTCAGCGAGCTGGCCGTGTAGGAACAGGAGGCTTAACCACAAATCTCTCCTCTTCCCACAAATTCTTTCTTGTAGCACTCAGCATTTCCGGACCTGTTTAATCTTCAGGCTTATCGTGAGCTGGGTTGTTATTTGCTCCTTCTCTAAGTGGCTTTCACTTCCTAAACACCGAGGTGTGAGAGCAGGTACTGCTGCCTCTGCTGGTTACCCTTCGTGGGCTGTGCGGATCCGATGTTACCGGCTGAGGCTGTAAAGCTGGAGCTGCTCCATGCATGGTTTTTGCCTCTGGCTAATCAGAAACTGCCTCTGTCAGATGCACCGAATATTGAACCATCTCGTTTTACTGCCTAGCTTTCTTTTTCCTCTGAATTTTAACCAGCCTATCTGGCCTTAGCTCAGAGCAAGGTGTGTCTAATACAGTTGGTAGACTGCAGGGAAGACCAGGCTCCTGCAGCTGAAGGATTTTTGGACACTTCCATGAACATTCTTTGCCTGAAAAAATCTTGTTTTCTGGTTAGAAATCCTTTAGGTGAAATGATGCTCGTGTCTTTTGGTGGGTACTTCTGCTGAGTGCCCTTCTCAGTCCTTGGAAAATTGTTGTGTCCCTGAAATATCAAGCAGGTGGGGAGAGAGTTGCTGGTTCTTTTTCCTTTCCATTTTTTTTCCTTTTCTTTTTCCCTGCATCTTTTGGTTTGAAGATTCAGCAACGTGTGCCATCGTGGTGCAAACTAGCTCCTGCACCTGTTTGCATGGCAGCATCTGGCCTTTTTTCTTCTTCCAGCCTGGTGTTCCTCCCAGCCTGGCTCCCAAGCCCTGGCCCGCAGCCAAGTCAAATAGAAAGAGGGACCTCCTGTGGGACTCGCTTGCAGTGTCAGAAACGTATTTGTGGGCTTGCGTGGTGTCAAGGGGACGGCAGCACCTGGAATATTCCAAAGCAGCAAGGCCTCTTTTGATCTCCAGTAAGGGGCGAACCCCGGTCTCTTCCGTAGCGGGTTGTAATCCATATTTCATGGAGCATGAAATGCTGCACTTGCAATCTGGAACAACTTCTAAAGTGCTGCCTGGGGTTGTAGCTTAATGCATCTTTCAGCAGCTGCTGAAAATACCTGTTCTGCCCCCAAAAAACTTTTAATTAAAAGCCTTTTTGACTTGGAAAGTAGTCTCAAGTTCCCTAGGCTTCTACAGCAGGACTTTTTGGGGCTGTTTCCTGCAGGAGATTCTTCTCATAGCATTGATGGTGGAGGCGGTGTGTAGGCTGTGGCAGTGTCTGTCCCTGAAGCTGTTGGTCCCCGTATCCAGGGTGGCCGGGCACGGCCTTTTCTGTCTCAAGGGGAGACCCTCTGCTGTCAGCCCTCTTAGGTAGGGGATGTTTTGGAGCAAAGCTGCTTCTCGGCACCCCTGGGGAAGGATGGGATGGCCAAGGGATTAGCCTCCCCAGCAGGGCTTGACAGGCAGATAAATCATCCCACCCCTGAGTGGCTGGTTCAGTCTCTGTTGTACGAGGTGTGGACCCTAACAGTGCCGTACCCTCGCTGTGTGTTGTGCCCGACCGTTACACAGGCAGCTGGCCTGCCTGCGGGCAGCGCTCAGCAAGGAGAGCCCCAGGGCTCTAACAGTGCCCTAAACCTGCTCACTGCTGCAGCCGTGACTCCCGCCTGCCTTGGAGGTCACTAACCGCTGGGCTCATAGGCGAGGGCGTTCTCTGGCAGTCTGCTGAATACAGCCAGTGGCACCTCCTAAGGCTTCCTGCGCTGGCAGCCTGGAGCTACTTTTTATGGGCCGTGGATCTCACCCTGAGCCCTGGCTCAGCAGTGTATGTGCGTGAGCATCTTGGTCAGCAAGCAAGCAAACGTGCTGCATGCACCCCAAAATGCTGAGGCTGTTGGGCTGGATGTCGAGCTTTAGGGGGGAGATGAATAGAGTGAGTCAACAGGAATTTGGGAGGGCAGGAGCGGGCTGACTTGCTGCATAAAGGCTTTGCCTGCATTCTAGTGGGGGTCGGGTAATCAGGGGCTGGAGCAAAAAATTGTTAAACTTTAACCTGTTAACCTAGCACAAAGGTCAGGGAAAAGAATACCTGGCTTTCAAGAAGCTATTAAGCGCCTTTGGTATTGCTTTGTACAGAAACTTGGGCCTGGGTTATTGAACTTCCCTTGGCCAGAGTCCATTCTGCTTGGTTGCTTCAACCCTTGGGGCTGGTGCAGGCACAATGCTTCTCCAGTGCACAGGAGGCAACCCCTGCCCTGGCCAGTGCTGCCCTGAAGTGGCCCGGTGCAGCAGAGACGTGCTCTGGGGCCAAAGGGACTCCATCGGCCACCTCTCACGTGCCCATCTGAGCCCTTAAAATTTGGCACGTCCTTTTCCCATGAAGAACACTGATGTGGCAGCTGAGATCTCGCTGCTTTAGCGTCTGGTGACTTGCTGTGGGTGCGATGGGCCTTGCTTAGCAAGGGTTGCAAGCTTGCTCTGAGCCTTTTGCTGCTTGGTGGGCTAGGTCTCGAGGAGCAAGGTTTCTGACTCCGCTAAATCAGAGGGAGATGAGGCCGAGCATCTGTTCCGCACAGCCAAAGGCGGAGGAGGGTCCCGGCACAGTGTAGCCATGAGCATCGCTCCTGTGCTGGCAGCTGGGGCCGGCGGGTGTCCATGGCCCCTCTCCCCGTTGCTGGGAGACCGGTGAGGGGGTCCCTTTACAGGATTAATGCTGTTCCGCATTCTTGTCTGATACAAAAAAAGAGGTTCTGCTGGATTCAGTTGTAAATTCAACCCTAGGAGCACATTGTCTCTCCCCAGCCCCTTTGAAAGAGGATTAGAAGGCATCTATTCTCCAGCATTTACTCTTCTTTCTCCTCCCCTTTCAATTTCCTTGTAGAGGATAACTTGAAAACCCAAGCGAAAGCCTGGAAAGTGGCTCGCATCATTGGCGCTGGGTCTCCTGGCTGGCTGGAGCACAGTCCTGTGCCTAGGAGGGATCTACTCTTTAATACCAAACTTTCTCTTCCCTCTACATAATCAGCTCCTTGAAATAAGTATTTGCGAGGAAAACAAAACCTGTTTTTTTCATTTTCATGACCCCAAGAAGACGTTGTTGTTATCTTCCAAGTCATGTGTGCAGGTCACATTCCTTTGGCTGGCCACGGTCCAGCGGCGGCTGTAGCCTGGGACATAATTCCTGTAAGCTACGGCACATAAATGAGGAGCAGGGCTACGCTACCTGCGGGAGGAGGCTTGGGGACCTCCTCTGGTAGGAGCTGGCAGCAGGTTTTTTTCCCTTGGGGGGAGATGGGGGGAGCTTCTCCCTTGTAGCATGGCAACAGGACTTGGAAAGTATAAAAACCTAATTGATAAAGTTCACTTTTATTGGAGTTGCTTCAGTGGAGCCGTGCAGCATGGCCCTTGGATCCAGCATGCCTAGGTGGAGAAGCTGGGCCATTGATCTCTTGCTTGTGAGCCCCTTCCCAAAAGAGGGGGGTGAGTTTCTTGCTCTGCAACAGGCTTTGGGAAGCCACAACGCTCCTGGCCCCGACAGCCGGGTGACCCTCTGTGCGTGTGCTCATCTGCAGGTGGCTATCAAGTCAATCCGGAAAGACAAAATCAAAGATGAGCAGGACCTCGTCCATATCCGGAGAGAGATTGAGATCATGTCCTCCCTCAACCACCCCCACATCATTGCTGTCCACGAAGGTGAGCCCTCCCCTCTCCTTTCCAGCAACATCCCCGAGCGGAGCCTCCCCTGCGGGGCTGGGTACCGGGGCAGGCTCTGCAGCAGTGGGGCTAGTGCTCACCGCTCTCCTCCCTCTGCTTGTTTGGAGCAGAAGCTGTTTGCCGTTGCCCTTGCCGTGCTGGTGATGCAGCGCCGGCAGGGAGAGCAGATGCTGCCGGGCTGTGGTTTCCCCGCCTGCGTGCAGAGCAGCGGCGAGGGGAAATACCTGCTCCAGAAATAGCCGCTTCCCGTCCCATCCCCTCCCGCCCAGAGAGGGAAGCCGGCTCCAGAAGTTTACTTGGCCTTTTGAGGCTGGAAGCCTCAGCGCTGCCGCTGGCGAGAGGCTGGGCCGTGGGGGGGAGCCGGTGGCCAGCCCCCATGAAGCCCAGTGCTGCGTGTGGCTCTGGTTGTGCTGGATGGTCGCCCCAGCCATGGGAAATGCACGTTCGGGGAACCGGCAAGTGCCGGAGCAGTGGGAATCTCTGTGGCTGTGCTCTCTGCCTGAGGCAGGAGCTAATCTCAGTACTGGAGTCCTTCTCCTTCCCTCCCCTGGGGCGTAGGAAAACCAAACTGCAGGGTGCTGGGAGGGGTCCTGGTGCTGCTGGGCTTGGCTTTACGGCCAGAGCTGGGCTTTGCTCCCAGAGTGTCAGGGCAACACCAACCAAAGGGGAATTTCTCAAGTTCTAGCTACGACCAGACTTAGAGCAAATCTCTAGCTGGATCAGTCTGCTTAAATGCCGAGTCCTTTGGCTGCAAACCTGGCGTGCCCCGTGCTCTTCCTCGGGGTGGCTCTGCCGGGGCTCGTTGCGCTGTGCCGGCGTGTGGCCGGTGCCTGCGTTATCACCGCCTCTCTGGCATATGTGAGGTATCCAGAGTCCTTTTGTCCTCTAAACAAAAGCAAGTGGATTGGCAGTTCATACGCGGTGTTTGCAAGGACTGAGTCACGCTGACTGCTGGAATTCAAAAATACCGAGGTAGCTTTCTGCAAACAGGAAGAAAACGCTCCATCTCTTGGCTTGAGCCAGAGCCTTGTTGGGAGCAATGGGAACACGCAGAAAGGCCACCCGGCCGTGCCAGCCGGTAGCTCCGTCGCCTTCCCCTTGGCTGGGCTCTGTCTAGCAAAGAACCATGCGTCTTAGTCACCTTCTGGCAGAGCAGAGCCCTTTCTCCTGTGCTCTGTGGCTGCAGAGGCTGCTTGGCCAGCAGCCCCGGTGGCACTGTGGGATGCGGGTGGCAGCTCTGGCCATCCCCCTCCAACCTGCAGGTACCTGCAGAAACCCCGACACCTTCTGTTTTGCAAAACAGACTGAGGGCACAGGCAATGGGGTGGGCAGTGTGTTAGCGTGGGTCAGGGCTCCACCTGCTCATTAAAAGGCACGTGCTAACGAGAAGTCCCTTAGCTCCGAGCATCCCTCCTAACACCCTCCGGCTTCCCGTCTTCGTGCAGTGTTTGAGAACAGCAGCAAGATCGTCATCGTGATGGAGTACGCCAGCAAGGGGGACCTGTACGACTACATCAGCGAGCGGCAGCGGCTGACGGAGCAGGAGGCACGCCACTTCTTCCGGCAGGTCGTGTCGGCTGTCAGGTGGGTCGGCACCACGCTTCCCACGGCCTTCCTGGGGGGAGAGCGGAGGGATCGGCTCCTGTGTGCTCGGCAGGGCTGGCTCTGGGCAGAGGTGCAGCAGCCGGGGCTGGGCACAGGTTCAGTGCCTGATGGGGAAGCTCAGCCTGGGCTGGGAGGTGGGGGGAACTCGTGGCTGTTGGCTTTTCCCTGGAAAGGAGTTAATCCTGCCTCTTATCTGAAGGGTGCAGCAGCCCTCGGGTTTGTGCGGAAGCAGTACCCAAGCAGCTTTTGGAAAGTCCTTGCCTTGGCTTTCTGCTGCTGCAGTGTGGGGCTGACTAACCCGGCCGGGGAGTTATCGACTCCTGTCCCACCCGCCCAGAGGGAGACGCCCAGGGCTGCCTGCCGGGGCTGAAAGCCAAGCCCTGGGTCACCCATCTTGTCCCCTGAAAGGAATGTAAAGCTATAGAGTCCTGTCCGGGGCTGTGGGATGAGCCATGCCTGCCCTGGAAGGATCCTCGAGCCTGTGGGTCTCCCTGGAGGATGCTCTAAGGCCATGCCTGGTCATGCCTCGGTCCTGGGTACCCGCGTGCCCTTGGCAGGAAGGGGGGGTTGCAGGGCACCTCCTGAACCCAAAGCAAATTGGGGTCTTGCTTAGCTGGGCAGCAGCAGGTCCCAGCAAAGCGTGGAGCTGTGCCCACCGTGCCCCGGCGGGAACTGGCACCAGCCGTTCTCATGGGTGCGTGGCTGGGGAGGGTGCAGGAGCCCAACGTGGCACCTGGCACGGGGTGCTGCCCTGCTCATGCTTCTGAGCAGCACAGGAAGCTGGTAGCACCCATGTCAGGACGTGGTTTACAGCCTGTCCTCATCCACGCACCCAGGGTTATTTACTGCTCCTCTGATTGCCGTCACCGTGTCCTGTTTGCGTGCCGGTGAACGGCAGTGACCGCCCCACGCTCCCTGACTTTCCCTTCCTCAAACACGCTGTAAACTAAACCCAGCTCTCCCTTCCCTCACGCAGAACGGGATCGTTCACAGGGACCTGAAGCTGGAGAACATCCTTCTTGATGCAAATGGGAACATCAAGGTGAGAGGCTGGCAGAGCCTGGCCACGCTTTGGGTGTCACCCAGCAAAGGGGTCTAAGGGATGCTGCCCAGCGTGGATGGACTGGGGGTGGCCACAACACCCCGGTCCCCCCAGGGCACATGGTTCTCCGCAGCTCTGGGAAGCATCTGTCAGCTCTGGGACTGCTGGCATCAGCCTGCACTGCTGTTTGCCCAGGAGATGGGGAGCCAGGAGGGCGCCTGTACCTGCCCCCTGCTATCTCTGCCTGGCAGCTGAGCGGGAGAGGCTGCGGAGGCAGAGCCTTAGTGCTGCCTATTGAAGCCATAATTGTATATCTGACTGCTGATAAGAGGGCAAAGTCTGAATGCTGAGGTCAAAGCACGACCGGCTGGGTAAGAAAGGGCTCTCCCAGTGAAAGTCCTGGTACCTGTACGTGCCGGCCAGGCTGGCAGAGGGAAGTGCGGGGCAGCTCCTGGCTCCGCTGGCCCTGAGCGATGCTTTTTGCCTTGGCCGGGAGCGCTGCAGCTGCCTGGCGAGGAAGGGCATGGCCGCAGCCAGGAATCGGTGCAGTCGGTGATAAACAGGCTGCGGGGCTTTATCTCTGTAAGGGGTAATTTTGCAACTGGGAGCTCGCAAGCAGGGACTGTACCTTCTGCTCACTGAGAGGTGATGGGCGTAATGAGGATAATGAATGACTGTGTGCTAGGTGGAGCAGATAGGGACTGAAGCAGCCTTGTGTGGCTGTGAATGAGCTGGAGGAGAGCCCAGCAGCTCTCCCTCTAACCACACCTTTGCACCTGCCTCTGCTCCCAGCATGCTGGTAATGGGGCTGGAGGGGCAGAGCCGCAGGGCAGCTGCTGTGGTGGCTGGGAAGAGCTTTCTGGGAGGGGGAGAGGGGCAGGAGCAGCCTCGGCGGGAGAGAGGC